ACAGGATTAATTATCAAAAACAAACAATTATATTGATGTGAAGGAGATGAGTCAGATTGGAGACTCAAAGCCCGTCTGCACACAAATGGAAATCCTCTCACAAAAGTGTCACATAGAAGGGATGACTCAGCCAGCGTGCAGTTTGGCACCTGACGAAACACACACCATTTCTTAGGTCTTTTTAATGCTTCCTCCCCACCGCCACCAACCCCCCCCTCCCACTAACATGACCCGTTTTACCTCACAAATCCTGCTAGACAGGAATATGTACATCAGTACAGATAATAGCTTTCAACTCTCAGAAGTCAGGGCAGATAAAACCCCTCAAAAGCAGTAATAGAAATAGCAATACCATGAGGGTAAGGGGAGGGTGGGAAAGAAGGGGGAGAAAGGGGAACCAATAGCAATGATCAGTCTATTACCCCCAGCCCCAGCCCTGGGGGATGAATAACAGAAATGTGGGTGAAGGGAGACAGCGGTGTAAGATGTGAAAAAATAAAAATATATAATTTATCAAGGGTTCATGAAGGTGGGAAGTTGGGGAAGGGAGGGAAAAAAGCTGATAAGGGCGCAATAACGAAGATAATGTTTTGAACATGACAATGGCAACATGTACAAGTTTGCTTGATATAATTAATTTATGGATAGTTATATCTGTAAGATCCCCCAATAAAATGATTAAAAAATGAAAAAGTATTTGACCATAGCTGTGTGGGCTTATTTTGGAGCTTCAAGTCCCCTTAATTTGACTACATGTCTATCCTAATGCCAATACCATAGTTGTGAATAGTATAGCTAGTAGTAAAACTTGAAATTTGGAAGACTGAGTCTTCCAACTTTGTTCTTTTTCAACATTTTGTCTATTTAGGCTTCTTGCAAATCAGTATGAATTTAATAAGAAAATAGTTTTTTATTTCTGCAGTAAAGGCAGGACATTAATATGACTTTTATTGATCTTTAAATCTCATTGAAGAGTCTTTCTTTTTTAATTTTTAAAATCATTTTATTGGGGGCTCGTACAATTATCACAATCCATACATACACCCATTGTGTCAAGCACGTGTTGCCATCA